ACAAATCAGGCCTGTGACATCAAAAATATACAGTCAAACCAACTATTTGCAGAACAGACACAAATACCAAATACTCTCTCTGGGCTTTTTCCTTAACCAGATGCACCTATGATTTGAAGTTCTCCTTTGCTTCTGAAGGTCTGGTATCAAAAACAGGTAGAGAAGGCTGAAGACACTCCTCCTCCCAAATTCAGTGTGAAACACTGACGCTTCAGAAGAAAATGAACTGCATGCTCTTATCCTTACCTCCCCCAAAATGGTTTAGCTATCTGGGACTAATGATCTCCTTTAATCAAACCCAAGGGGAAAAGCAAGGTAAAAGCTAAAAGTTCAGAGAAAGAGATAAAGACGCAAATTAGAGAGGAAAGATGAATCAGGATGGGAAAATATTGATTAGTCAGTTTAAGAAGACGTGTTTTCATTGTGCATCTTAGCATGCGCTTCAGAAACCAATCAACTGCCTGCTTCTAAGATTGCCTATCCTACATATTTAGCGCACAAAACCAGAGTGCAGAGAAAAGCACAGAGCACAAGAGGGCTTTTGTCTAAGAGCAGAGACAACATTATACTATGTATCCTACAGCTTAGCTTAGGATCAACTCTCAGAACCAAGGCTAAATCATAAACCTGATAAACTATGGATTCCATTAGAGAAATAACTTCCACAACTCCAAAAGAAAAGGATCTGAAGTACTCCTGCGGGCCACAGTAAGAAACCTAGGGACCTAATTTCTAACTCCTAGGGACATTTCAATGTCGTTGTCAGTAGTGATGCTATCTGAAGATCATTTGCAGTGTCACAACAGGGAATGATACTGTCCGTTTCCATACATATCTGCCATAGACCTAGAGGATAGCTCCGTGTTCTCACAACATAGTCACAGCAAACTGCACAGCCCTCCACGGCTGCATCCTGCCTACAAAGCAATATAATAAATAATTTTTTAAAAAATGTGGAAGTACTTTCAGCAGTAAAAAGTAGCCTGTGCAAACCAAAAGCTCAGTTCATACAAACAAAACTATATTAAAAATTAATAATTTATGTTTTCCAGGGGGTTCTTCTTGAAGAACAACAAATCCACCTGTCAGTCTGTCCATTCCGATGAACGCCTGCCTATTGTCAGCCAGACCTCATCCAGTTCTCACTGCACTGTCCAATCCAAACAAGGTGAAGTATAACTGTGTGACTGTTTCTGTTCTTGCCCACCCTCAAGGAGAGAAGGTGTCTTTAGGAAGGAAGATAAACTCTTGAGAAAAATTCCTTTAAATTATCATAAAAAGAGATCTGGTTTTTTCCTAAAATCTTGATCACAAAAAATGGACAAGAATTCATCATTTTCAATTTTACAGTAAGAATCAAATGTTATCTAAAGCGGTCATTTAAATTTCCCCTGCCTCTGTTTCCTAACTGCTGGGTTATAGACATGCGCCATCTGGTTTAGAAAAAACTCTTGATCAAATAGCAGCTAAAGTAAATATAATTTTATAACCAGAGACAGGTCTAAATATAAATGACCAGTTTTGGATGACTACTAACTCACTTCAAAGTGCACTAACAAAGTCATATCAACATTTGTTCGTCCAGACTATGCAGAAAGGCTTTGGACACGATAAATCCAAAAGGTAGATGCACAGGTCAAAAAGGAACAGGAAAAACAAATACTTCCAAATACCTTATTTGATCTAAACTGGCCCCAGTTTAGCCTGTTGTCTACAATTACAAAACGCCCCCACCGAGGTCCTCCCACTTTAGGCAAGGTTTTTCCATAATGGCCTGAGGAATTCTGTGGAAGGCACATGTGTTTTCTTCTTCTAAGGTCTTCTTCTGTGGCACAAGAACTATTAAGGGGGAAACATACTTTGAACAGGGGGTCATAAGTAAAGAACTTCCAGTGTGTCTTCCCTCCTCCAACATCAAGCTATTTTTCTTTCCTTCCTACAATAATTACAAGTAAAACAGGCTAGAAAAGGTCAACAGAGTATGTATTGTGTGTAGGAATGCACAAAAAATAACACCTTGCAAATGTCAAAAATACAGGTTTAATAATGTGCAACTAATGAAGATGGTTTATAAATTAAATGCCACCTACTACACATTTGGTCCCTAAATATATTATGCTATTAGTCATTAAAGTTAGACCTCTAAGTACAAATTTTCCATCTGTGAAAAAGTTATCCGCTTTTAAATTAAAGAGAAATCATTACGTCTTAAAATAAAACTATCAGGATATAATTCAAGTGTAGCTGCTCATCGTCTCTGAGTAGGTTTGATAATCAAACATTTAAGTTTCAACCAATGTACCCATGTCGAAGCACATTTAGCTGAAATAACTTTTCGTCTGGTTTATTTTCATCACATATAGTACATTTTCCAACAAAAACATGTACATTCAATATAGAACATTTCCAGCAACAATTACAGTCTTTCTAGTTTCCTTTCACAGTATATTTTAGTGCAGAGCACTGAGAAGGGTAATGTTCTGCTAACTATAGAAGCATTTTATTATGACCTTCTAGATCTTTGACATTTAAAAATTTATACAAAAAGTATACAGATGGACAGGGTCCATTCTAAGTACAGCTGTGAACCTACATAAAAACACGGTATATTTTCTGCAGTACCTTTTAAAATAATTTGACACAAATTACTAAAAAATAAAATATTCCCTAAAATTACAAAATATTGATACACAAAAACCTGCCCAAAATTTCCTAAAGATAGATGTGTTTCTTTTTTCCTAAAATCTTGATTACAAAAGATGGACAAGAATTCATTATTTTCAATTTTACAGTAGGAATCAAATATTACCTAAAGTGGTCATTTAAAATTTTTCCTTGGGAGAAAAAAATTAGGAAGGACACCCCTATCTTCCTTTTACAGCAACATTTAAAGAACTAAACTAGAAACATAAGAAGTGGTTGCACATGGATTGTCTGCATCTATAAAATATCAGTAAGCTATTTATTACCTTCATATAAACATTAGTAAATGTGTTCTTTAAAAAAATAGGAACTGAGAAATAAGATAGCATCTACCATTAAAGTGCTTTATATAAAATTTAAGGAAAAATAGGGGAATGTTTCATTTTCATAAAAACTTCTGATGTTTTTACAAATGATAAATGTAATAATGATCTATGCATAAAATGAACTGGAACTTTCTTTGTAGTATATATTTTAGAATAAAACTTTCAAACATTTAAGTGCTAAAGAAAAACTCAAATATAAATGATGCAAAATAATTATAAATATTCAGTAGGCTACTAAATATTCATAATATATTGATACTAATTTGTCTTTTGATCCCAACATACTTTCTACAAAAATCATATTTACCTATATAATCTAGATAAAATTTGCATGTAAAGTGAAATAAACCACTAGAAATACAAAGTTTCAATTAAAAACTATTATTTTCTTCAGGTTGTTGATCACTTTAATCAACAAATTTGGAAAGCAAAATTCCCAACATTTTTGTAGAAATTGTAGACCATATGTACAAGGTCTATGAAGACAAAATATAATATCACAGCTACTCAAAAGTGCTGGAATGGGCATTGCCTTTAGAAACTGGTTAGATGGTTATTGTTTTAGTCAGAAATCAGCAGTTACAGTTGAAAATTTATGAAAATGTTCTTTTTTCGTCATAGTACCATGTGAAGACGTTTAGTGGTTCTAACAACTTAAAGTCTTTCCACAAAAATGAACTCCAAACCTTTTCGTACATCACTTGAAGTTATCTGAGGAGAAATAGGAATAAATGAACACTTTTGAGTTTACCAATAAAACCTTGGTCTTAAAATTGCACAACAGTAAAATGACTTCTAAAGGATGGTTTTACCTCAAGTTTCCACACAAAGACAATGTGACAATCAAACCACATAGCATGCTAATCAGCACTCAACTAAGGCCTTTGCATTAGAGCCCGTATCTCAAGCTTATTTAATACTAAGTGCATAGACGTCTAATTGCGAGGGCAAAGGCTGCTAGCAAACTTTAAAAATACTGACTTACGAAAACAAGTACTGGGAGTCTACTTCTTATCTTACACTGCATCTTAAAATATTTAATTGTTCCAATACTTTCTTTAAAAAGTAGAATTGTTCTTTCTTCCAAATAGGGATTTTGCTTTCCTTTTGGTCACAACCTCTCTTTCTCTCTCTCTCTCTCTCTCTCTCTCTTTCTCTCTCTCTCTCTCATACACACACACACACACCACACACATCACTTCTGAATAATACTAACTACGTTGAAATGGTCACTTACAAGTTTATTAAACAGAAAGGGAAACAAGAGTATACGTATCTAAGGAAAAAAATCTATCCCCTATAGATCAAACCTTCCAAACTCCCTAACATATACTCCCAAGGAGAAGAAACAATTCACTGTGTTTACTAACTTTCCCCGTCCCCGGGAAGCGGTGGGCTAAAAGTAAATAGCCAGTATTAATCCTTCTATATTCCAACTGGGGGTTTCTTCTCTAAGTGCTACACTTTATTTAACCTACAAATTTTTACAATAATTACAGTGCCTTAAAATGTTTTTTCTATAATTATCTCCTTCATAAACTCATTCTGATCTATTTAACTTTCCTGCAATGCATTAGGATTAGTAGATTGAATAAAATTAATAGACTGAGTCAAATTAAACCTGTGCAAGTTAGTTAAACACCAGATTTCTATGTAAACATAGACCAAAATAAATGTATGTATTTTACAACATTAAAACAAAAGCACTGGCCCATGTCATCTACCTGCAGCTACAGTGCATTGTCCTGTGGGAGGCATGTCCTGAAATTAGCTTTTGTTCCCATGCTACTGGAATAAAGGTCACTGGGAGAGAAAAGCAATAACCATCCATCCCTCTTGCAGTTCCTACTGCTCTATGATTTATGAAAGAAAATATGTTAAAATGGAACCAGCTATAAATTATGGCCAAATGATTTTTTTTTTAGTTCGATGAGGGGGAGGGGGGAACAAAACTCTGTAACTGTTCCTCACCAGACAAGAGCCTTAGATCTTGTACTTCGGCCTTTGGTTTTGTTTCCTTCAGGTGAATTGGTAGCATTTGCCTTATGAGTTTTCTTATGATGTTCAAGATAAGTCTTTTTGGCAAATGCCTTTCCACATTTATTGCATCTGTGAAGAGAAAAGTTTTTTGTGACTTTCACTTCAATACCGACGTCAGCTACTTCATACTTTTTACTAGGAGAATTGGAAGTGCCATCATGTTTGGAATCATTATGTCTCGCTTCATCCCTTGAAGGGCCTCTTTTTGCCACTTTGTTTAGAACAAAATCAATAGGCTTTTTTATAGCTCTGATCTCTAAGCTGGCTGTTATCTTCCCAAGGTAGCGAGATGACTTTTTATGAACCACAGTTATATGTCTTATCACATCACGTTTCCGACGAGTTTCGTAAGTGCAGAGAGGACACTTGTAGAATTTAACATAAATGTTATTCCCATCTGTGTGCAGCTCAATGTGTTTAGTCAAGTTCTGCTTGGAAGTAAACTGGCGTTTACAGAGTTTACAGTAAAGTTGCTTAAAGTCAAAGCCAGCTGAAAGTTTTGGCTTCCTGGCTTTTGGCTGACCACCTGCAGCCGAAGGACTAGCTGGTTTAGGGCTTTCAGAGTCCTGTTTAACTTTATTTTTCTGTGTTGTTGGTGTGTTCTTCTTCTCATTTGAATGATTTGTTCCCTTTAATCCATTCTGTGGAGAATGGCTAATAGAAGAAGGTGAAGATCCTGCAGTGTCTGCTGGTTCAACTTTAACTTTTATTTCTGAACTGCTGGCAGTATTATTCGACCCTTTGTCTCTTTTAGAATTTGCTCCAGAAAGAGTTATCTTGTGGACAATTTGCATATGTCTCTTCAGCATTATCTGTGAACTGTATTTCCTCTTGCAAAGGAGGCATTTGCATGTAGTTAAATTGTACTCAGCCTTTGAAGACTTTTGTTTTCGAGTTTTAAAAGATTTTTTAGGAGAAGCGGAATCCAAGAACAAAGGTTGCCCAGGCTTTGTTGCTATATCAGGAGTAATTGAGTCCCTCCTCAGTCCTCTATGAACTTCATCAAAATGCCTCCTTACGTTCGCTTTTGTAGCAAAGGATTTACAACAAACTGGACAACTCCTACTTAAGGAGACCAGAACACTCTTACTGCGTCCTTTCAAAGACTGGTTTGGAGTCTTCCGCGTCTCAATGTACTTTTTTAGTTCTTCCATCTTTTTCTTGTGTACTTTTCGAATGTGACGACGGACACCTCGTCTAGAATTGAATTCTTTCCTACAAAGACAACATATCAACTGGTGACCAAGGTCAGAACTATCAGACATTTCCAAGTCAGCCTGTGATTCCTGGGGCTGCTCCTCAGAGGGAGGCACAGCTTCATCTACAACAGTCTCTTCAGGAGGAGGCTCCATGACTTCCAGCACGTCAGCATCTGTGTCCGGGACAGCTTTCGGCTGTTCTGTGCTTGTCTCCTGTATCTGGACTTCAGTCTGCTCAGGTGTACTGCTTGATTCTGTGACTTCAGCAGGATTATCAGTTCTTGAAATATATTGAAACACTGCATTCTGATTGGTTTCTATGGGTTCTAGCTTAATAATATACTCTCTCTTGTCCACTCTTGGATATATGGCTTCTAGGAGATCATTTATGGCTTGGCTTTGCTTATCATTTACATCAGGAAGGTCTGTAAAAGGAAAAAAACAACTGTTTTTAAGCTGAAATAATTAACTTGTTCTAACCCTTGAATATTTTAAAATATATAACGAAGTTTATGTTTTAGTAGTGCATGTATCTTTTTACAGCACTTTTTTTCAGCATTTTATGAATATAAAATCTAGTTATTAACTAAATTAAAACTTTGCTTTAATTTACCATCAGATGAGGAAAGTAAATCTGAAGAGCTCCTTCTAAGTTCCCTTATTATAAAATACATAAGCATATGATGGTAAGTCCTAAACGATAAAAATACTATTATTTATTTTTAGTCTGAAAATTTTAGAGTACCAAAGACAACTCAAGTTCTTACAACCCAGGATGGATATAATATCAGGAAGGATATGATATATATAAATGATTTTTAATGTGATATAATAGTATTTTAGCTAATATAAGTCTAATAAACAATGTAACTTAATTCTACTGAGACACTTGGAACATCTCATAGAAATAAAAAAATGTCTGCAAGTCAACATAAATGGTGTAAGGCTAAAGAGAAAAAAAAGCAGTCTTAAGCAATTTTCTCAACATGACAAAACTTTACTGAAAAAACTGGTTAAAAACTATTAGTTTACAAATAAATCTAGTTTTACTTATTTGTACAATAACTACCCCCTCTACAGGCAACCAAAAGGTCTGCTGCAACAAAGCAGGCTGGCATCAGTTATATTTCCACATATAATTCTAAAATCTAGTTACAAATACTGAATCTAATAACTATTTAGAAATCACAACACAATCCATTATAGTTCTAATCCTCTTTCCCTTCTCCCTCATTTTTCATGGGTGGAGTATGTTTACATATGTGGGTGCTTGTGTGGGGATGTATGTGTATACGTATGCTATGGAGGCCCGAGGCTAATGCTGGGAGTCAGCCTCCATCACTCTCACCTTTTCCATTCAGGCAGCTTCTCTGAAGCAAACCTAGAACTCCCTAATGTGTCTTGCTAGTCTGCTTGCTTTAGGGATTCCCGTTTCCACTTTCTGAGGCTGGAGTTATAGACAGGCTACCATGCCCACCCTGTATGCATGTGGGTTCTGGAGACATGAACTCTGATCCTCAAGTGTGACAAGAGCCATTTTCCCAGCCTTTTTTCCTTTTGTAAATAGTAAAGCTTTACTATTATTATGTACCTTCATAAAAGTACATGCAGAACTGCCAAGAAGAATGCACAATAATCTGGCAGATCCATCTATCACTTGCACTACATAAAAACCTCTACAATCTAAATACAATGAAGAACACGAAGAATAAAATACTACTTTAATTAAAATGTTAGATTTTTAACTGATGCCTCTAAACTACTTTTTAATTTATAGCTCAATAATAAAAAGTCCAATAAGCTCAAATACAAGCACATAAATTGTCTGAAACAATAAAACATGACCAGGCGGTGGTGGCCTATACCATTAATCCCAGCACTTGAGAGGCAGAGGCTGGTGGATATCTGTGCTTGAGGCCAGCCTGGTCTACAGAGCAAATTCCAAGAAAGTCAGGACTACACAAAGTAATCCTGTCTTGAAACACCAAAAAAGAAAAAAGAAGAAAGAAAAACATTTAAACATGAAAGTGTTATTATTTTTAGTCTCAAAGTTTTAGACTGGCAAAACCAATCCAAGTTCCCATAACCCAGAATGAATAAAACATCATTAAGAATTATCTTATGAATGTCCATAAGTATAACTATATTCTTCATGTAAAAAATTCTAGACAAATATGAAATATTTATTTTATCTATCCCCTATAATATACTTAACATAATTTGATAATAATTAAAGAAATATTTTGCTCTTCAGTTTTTGCATTCTATCTCCCTACCAAAAACTTTTTTAAAAATTGAGTTTGAAAATGCAAAAAGATCTACAAAATATCTATGGTATCAGGGTACTAAAATAAGTGTCTCATTTTTTAAGTCCCCAAGTTTAAATCCCTGAACAAGAAATAATGAAGTTACCTTGTATTATTATGTTTTAAAGAACTTATATTAATTCTTTAAAGCAAGAAAATAATAATACTATATATGTTTATTATTTACTCATACAAAAAAGTACATAAATTCAGACATTTAGTGTCACAAAGACTATTAGCATGCTACTTGCCTTAATCACAAGCAGTACTGATGCTGTTAGTCTACACTCTAACACTATGTGACATCTAAACACATTCTGCTAAGAACAAATCTGATCTTCAAATTAAGATCCAGAAAACACTAGAAAAATTGATAAATATTTTAATTGTTCTCTGCCATTCCCAAAATATCAAGTAATTTACTTATTCTTTGCTAATTATTGGATGCATTCTCATTTACTTAAAGAGAATCTAAGTAAGTGATCAATCATATTTAGCAATAAGTGGTCAAATTGAAAGAAATATACTATGAAATTGCTTCCTTAAAGACAGCATTAATATTGTAACTTTCAAATACTAACTAAACTATATGAACTGCGTAAATATTCAAAACCAATCCTCATTACTTCAATACAAATAAATACATTCACAGATTAAAACTCATAAATTAGGAAAATCCAAGTGGAAAGCACTGATATCAAAGTACTATCCAGGAAACTGAATATAACAATGTCAAGTGTTTCATTTTATTCTCCATCACTAAATTATCTATAACTGATATCAATACCACTTTAAAATAACATAGAAGCAGTAAAAAAAAACACTTAACTCTAAAATGTATAACAATAATTGACTAGAACTTACTGTCATCCATTTGGAGACTTGGTGGGCAGTAAAATTTCTTATGGGTAATTAAATTTGGTAATCCTCTAAAGAGACTACGGCATAATTTACATTCAAAAATAGTATCCACATCTTTTAACAAAATATGTTTAAGCTGTTTGGTTCCTGGAAGGAAAAGAAATATATAAAAGTTAACTCTGACCTGCACTTTTCAATCAAATGCCAACTGTTGATAATCCAAAAACAGTTACTCTGAAAACAAAATACAGAGACAATGTCAATTTCTACCACAGAGTGTTTATTAACTAAGTAAACTAAGCAAATATTTTATGATTTGGCAAGTTAAGACAGACAAAAATGATGTCCTTTTTCTATCAGTAGCCAATCAATTCACAGACAAACTCTAAGGCAGTGGTTTTGACATCCGAGAAAGCATTCAAGTGAGTTGAGAATAAAGGTATACATGACTCTTCCCTAGAGAGCCTGAGTTGGTAGGTCTAGGATAGGAGGGGGAATGCTTCCCATCACTCCTGCAAACTTTCTGCTGGTTCTGCCAGCTCTTTTCTAAATATGGAAGTGAAAAATAAGAGGTTTGGATTTTCGTTTTGAACATATTTCCCAATCCATTAAAGGTCTAAATTCTTTTTTTAAAAAAAAACAACTTTATTTAACTTCATTTCATGCACAATGGTACAACGATGTCAGATTCTCTTGAACTGGAGCTACAGACAGCTGTGAGCTGCCATGTGGGTGCTGGGAATTGAACCCGGGTCCTCTGGAGGAGCAGTCAGTGCTCTTAACCACTGAGCCATCTCTCCAGCCCCCCAAGGTCTAAATTCTTATCCCAGGATTATTTATGAACAGCCTTTTAAAATTCAGTTTATATTACTTCAGGCTCTGGGCCAACTTGGAGTTATGCTATTTTGTGATAAAGCAAAATTTTGCTCAGGCTTTTGATAGCACCATCAATTTAAATATCTCAAGCCTTTATTCATGAGAACTTGCTGAAGGATGATCCTTCTGTAAGTGCTGTGAATATGTATTATGTTAATTGGTTAGCAAAAAAGCTGTTTGGCCTATAGCAAGGCAGGATAAAGTTAGGTGGGACAATCAAACTGAGGACTGGGATGAAGAAGGGCAGAGTTGACAGAAACTTGAGTTAGCTGCCCAAGAAGCAAGATAGCAGAGGACGGGTAAAGCCATAGGTCACATGGCAATACACAGAAATGGATTAATTGAAAAGTAAGAGCTAGTTAATAATAAGTCTGAGCTATTATATTGGCTGAGCGTTTTGTAATTATTATAAACTTTGGTGTGTTTGTTTGGGACCAAGTGGTCAGGACAGAAAAATTACACCTCCATTTACAAGAACTCTTACCCCAATTCCAATTACTTATCAATATAATTACTATAATCCAGTATCTGTCTTATCCATTGATTAAAAATCCTTAAAGTAGCCAAAACCAAGCTTACCATATTTATAATCACAAGGTGTTCAATTCTAGTCATAAAGAAATGCTACTGATCTAGGACTACTAAGCATTTTGGTGGGAGATAAAAAGGCAGAATAATTGGCAAAAATCATCAAATCTTTAAAGCATCCACAAGGAACAAAGCACAAACAAGACTTTTTGTTGTTACCTCCTACAGGTCTTTGCTATAGTAACTTACTAATTAATATAAATACCTTAATTATGTTACTTTCATTGACAAGGTATCCTAAATAATACCGTTAAGAAAACATAAGTACTGAATATTCTGTCATTTAACATGCATTTTTTACTGTCTATAAAGCTCTGGTACTACAGATACAAACAGAGTGAAATTAAAACTGTAGGGTCTACCACACCCAAACATTAGATGGAGCTGAGAGAACCCCTCGAAAGAGGAGGAAGCATTGTAGGAACCAGAGGTGTGGAGACACCAGGAGAACATGGCCTACAGAATCAACTAAGCAGGGTTCACGGACTCACAGAGACTGAAATGACAATCACAGATCCTGTATGGGTTTACAATAGGTCTTCTGCATACACGCTGTGGTTGTTTAATTTCTAACAATTGGAGTGGGATGTCTCGGACTCTTTTGCCTGGGACCCTTTCCATCCTCCTGGGTTGCCTCACCCAATCTTGATGTAGGGGTTTGTGCCTAGTCTGACTGCATTTTGCTATACCATGTTAAGTTGATATCACTGGGAAGCCTGCTCTTTTCTGAAGGGAAACAGAGGACCCAGGCAGTGGATCTGGATGAGAGGGAAGTGAGGGGGGAGAAATAGGAGGAGAGGAGGAAGGGGAGGCTACGGTCTAGATGTATTGTATGAAGGAAGAATAAATAAAAAAAAAAAACTGTAGCGGCTATAAAAGGTCATTGTTTCTAACCCAATCTTTAATAATATATTTTTAATTTACTATTAACTTTTGAGAGTATATTTTATCATCATTTTAAAAGTAGGCCATCCCTCAAAATTCTATTGCAAAATATTGCTTGACAGTTTATTAGAACATTACTAAGTGTTTAGAGATAACAAATCTTATCTTATCTAGTTATATTATCTTAAAGAACTATATAATATCTGCATTTTTTTGTTTAACCACCTTGTATCATACTGAAGCAAACCAAAACTAGTCATTTCACATTACAAAAGAATTTCATGACAGACAGCTCTCTTTGATTCCTAGCTAGCCCCAGAGTGATTAACAAACTAAGTGAGGTGAAACAGGTATTGAAATACGTGGGTTAAGCCTCTATAACAGGTACATATTTAGTTTCACAAAATGTAGCTGAATATAAGCGTAGTGGGAAGAAAAAAGTGAAAATTTTACACACTGATTCTAAATTAAAAGATGCACTATACCCAAAACGGAAATTGAATCTTGCCTTTAAAAATGGCCAACAGAGCTGAGCAGTGGGGGCCATGCCTTTAATCCCAGCACTTGGGAGACAGGGACAGGAGATCTCTGTCAGTTCAAAGATAGTCTGGTCTACAGCTAGGACTGTTACACAGAGAATCCCTGTCTAAATCAATCAATCAATAAAAATAAATAAATCAAAAAAGAGTCACCAGAGCCCACTGTGGTGAATACACCAGCAGAGGGATATACTGTGGAGGCAGAAGCAAGAGGATTATGACCAAGGCCAGTGTAAGCTGTACCTTTGAGGCTCGAGAGATGGCTCAGCAGTTAAAAGAACCTACTGCACTTGCAGACCTGGGTTCGATTCCCACCACCCATGTAGAAGCTCACAACCACCCACATATTTGGTTCCAAGGGATCCAACAACCTCTTTGGCTTCTATGGGTGCCAGGCATGCACATGGTACACAAACATTCGTGCACACAAAACACCTGTACACAAAAAATACAAATAAATAAATCTTCCTAAAAAGTAGTCAGAACACTGAGGGAAAACAGCTGAAGAAAAACAAGAAATCTATTTAACTAAAATTCAACTAAAGGGGTTAGAAAGATGGTTCAGTGGCTAAGAGCATGTTGTGCTCTTGCAGAGGACCCAAGTTTGGTTCTTAGCACCCTCATCTCAGCTCATAGCTGCTTACAACTCCAGTTCCAGAAGGTTCCAACATCTCTGACCTATGCAGGTACCTACACTCATTTGTATACTCCCTCACACATACACACACATATATACATACAGACGTGATTTAAAAAATAAAAAATTAAGAATTTTTTAAAATTCAACTTTAAATTTAAATAAGCAAATAGCAACAATTTAAAGTATTACCAATCTTATATAAACATGGTTATAATTAATAAAAACAGTGAAGTGTAAAAGTAAAAACTTAAACTAGGTAACCAGTTTGTTCACTGGGATCTTTCCATCATATCAATCAAAGAAAAAGAAAGATATCATTTCTTAATTAACTCTAGTTACACAGTTATATTCAATAGCAAGTATATTACTTATACCCAAAAGGCATCAAAAAAGGTATCTCCTCTAACCTATCATTTATATAAAAACACTTTCCTCAAAATGCAAATGCAAACACAAACACACACACACACACACACACACCAGTTACTGTTGACTCAGGCACACCAATTTCTTTTGGGTCAGAAATACAACAAATGTTCTCTTGCTCCTCTGTCCTTTGTATGCCATCGCCCATGTTATTCTTACTATAACATATCCTTCCCTAGCTGACTCACTTTGATCCAGGGAAGAGGTCTCTTCTGCCAGGATGCCTTCTCTGACATTCCTATTAAGACGCTACCATGTGCAGTCAGTGCCCCAGCTTCCCCCGCTATTTCACACTCAGTTACTGTTCTATGTATCTATTATGCTAAGATACCTAAGAGAAAAGTTATCTGTGATGCTCACCACGGTACTCCTATTCTCAGGACAATGCCTAATGACTTTCATTAACAACTTTCTATATATTTATGAATATCATTGTTTTTAATCTATGTGTACTTGACTTGATAATCAAAAATGGTTTCTAATTCCACATACAAGACATTTTACAAACATGAAAAGTAAGATGTGTCTTGTTGCATAAACAGATATTAAAAGATTTCCTCTAGTTTTCGCCATCATTTAGGGTGTTATATGTGTTATACTTTTCCAAGAACAGAAAGAATTTATTCAAAATGAGCTACCATTTTTCTGATTGCTTTGTCACAATAAACACAGCCTCTGTCATACTACAGCTCCTCCTCACCTGAGACAAAGGCGTGGTCATCTAGACAGAACATAAAATTTGTCTCACTCTGAATTCTGAGAAACAATCATGCTGATTTTCTCCAAACCATTCCTTTAACAAAAAATTGCTCTCTTTTTACTTAGGTTCTTAAATCACCTGAGAAGTCACTGCTAATTGCTTAATAGATCATCAACCAGGATCTTAAAAAAAAAAACAACAACAACAAACAAAACAAAACACCATAGGGTAAGATTTTTGTTAATGGAATAATGGCACATACAATAATAAATTTATAAGAAGGATAAAATTGCTTTAAGACTATGCCTACTTGATGAATCTTTCACTTTACCCTAATAAACACTTAATGGAGCTTTTATTAAATATCATACAATATTATTCAATTCATAGAAACATATAAGAGAAGGATGTGGTTCCAAGATATTGACAGCTTCAGACTAGAAGAACTTTCTGCTTTCTAGAAACATAATCCTAGAGGACGTACTTGGAAGAGGCATGCTAAAAATAATAAACCCAAAAGATATCTAGTCCCGTTTAAATTTCCTATAATTGCTAACAATCAGAAAAATTCCCTCAGAGGCTGCAGAGATAGTTTCAGGCTTGAGAGCACTTGCAGCTCTTCAAATGACTACTTCCAGTGCCTAGAATCCATGTCAGGTGGCTCACAACAGCCTCTAATTCCAGCTCCAGGGGATCTAATGCCCTCTTCTGACTGCCTCAGACACTGCACACTGCATTCATATACATGTATATCCATGTATGTATACACACAGAGACACAAAATAATTAAAGAAAGATTCCCCTCAAAGAACAGAGCAGTCTCTGTTATATCTCTCACAGACCTTACTTCCATGCCAAGCTTATCTAGAATTAAAAGTAAGAATCATAATTCAGTCATGGTTTACACTAACTACAATGAAAGTTACTTCAATCAGAAAAAAAGTAACTTCAAGATGGTAAAATCTAGGAAGACAACCACAAGAGTCATTACACAAAATAGTTATTATTTTTCACCAGCATACTTCAAATTAACAATTTATTCTTTCCTGGGAAGGAGAGGATGAAGTTCCTTGTGTATAGTTGTATAGCATATTACATATGTATAGAACCTTTTCTCTAAAATTATATATATTATAATTTAACATTTGAATTTTAATATGTCAATTTCATATTAAAGATTAGTTTTAAATGATGGACGCCTTCCCTCATTTTCCTGTTTTAGCTTTAGGGCATTCTAAAGTTTCTTTGCCTCTGTAAAATGACTAAGAGACTCATATTCTCAAATAAATCAATGTAATAAATACCTAACAGATATTTAGTAAACCTCTAAAGTTATTGTGTGGTTTTTCTTCTAAATTGTGTTTTGAAGAAAGTGAGAAAGGAGGAAGATCAACTAAAAGTGTTAAGGAAAGGGAGGAAAGCCTGAGGACATCACATCCCAGGTGTGATCCTGCAGGAATCTACTTGGGCATGAAGGAAGACTCCAGGGAAGCACAGGGCATGGCGGAGGTAATACCAGAAGCCGGTACTGGGAGCAAACATCAGGTTTCAAGTCATCCATCAGGGCTCAGTGCAGAAAATCTATAGCCACATCTAACTCTACAGTAATTTCAACAAACAAATCTACCCACAAAGCAAAACTACACAAGAATGTATGTCCACTACCATTTCTACTGGGAGGAAACAAAGAATATATTTATGCATGGATAAAAGGAAGAGGACACACTATGCAGCAGTTGTCACTTGTGCAAAGAGTTAGGAGAAGCTTACTTTTTGCTCTATAAACTGTTATATCCACAATGTCATTTCTCCCCCGCCCAAAAAAAATCTACTTAAATTGTTTTACAAATCAAGCAATTAGAAATAAATAACAGAGGTAAGAAAGAATTTTTAACTTAAAGCCAGGAAAATAGTGCAAAGCCAACACAAACACTTAACTCTAAGACAGTAAGAATGGGTTAAAACTGTCCTGCAGTCAATGTAGCACACTTGAGCTGGTGAAATGAGTCAACTTCTCCTCCAGACACAGAGGCCTTTATGGGTTTCCAGCTTGGGTAGGAATTAGTATCGGCTTGCAGACAGTCCAGTGTAGGAGGAAGAAAGTAAGAAACTCAAAGATGGCACAGCAGTTGAAGACAAGTATCTGACTTGAAGTTGAAGGCAGATCCTACAGAACTGCAATCCATCTGACTGCCTCCGTCATTTACTAAGCAGACCCACGGACTTCACAGTTGTACTGTCAAGCACCAATCAGATACACAGCGCTACCAGGATAGTTTGCTCAATGCAAAGTGTGTGACCCAGATACAGTGGAAAGAGGCTGGAAAGGGATGAGTCACTGAGGGTGTGCTTATAGAAGACTGGGTCAGGGAGGAACTCAATCTCACGTTAGAATGGACGTTAAACCCCAAGTCATGTGGCCCATTTTACCTTACCCTTTACCACCTTTGGACTACAAAGAGCTACTTCAGTAGACTTTAGATTGGCTATATATGTAAGAGATTATTGTCTTGAGGAAATTCAAATTTCTGATTCATGGGACACAATAACCAAAAATTAATTTCTATGAACAAATACACATTTCTAAATCATCTCTAATTTAAATTATAGTATTTTCATAATTTTTCTATATTAAAAAATAACAAGGCTGGTGTGTTGGGGATATTTTTTAAAAGAGACTTCTGGATAGTTTTATGTTAACTTTATGTTTATATCAAGTTAGAGTCATTTGGAAAAAGAAAACTTCAACTGAAAAAAATACCCCCACTGGATTGGTCTGTAGGCCTGTCTGTGGGGCACTGTCTTGATTGGTGATTGATGCAAAAGGGCTCAGCCTGCTGTAGGTAGTGCCATCCCTCAGCAGAGGTGGGCCTGGGTGCTGTAAGAAAGAAGCTGAGTAAGCCATGAGGAGCAAGCCAGTAAGCAGCACCCCTCCATGACCTCTGAATCGGCTTCTGTCCCCAGGTTCCTGCTCTGACTCCTTTCAATGAAGGACTGTGATGTGAAAGTATAAGATGAAATAAACCCTTTTCTGACCAAGTTGCTTTTGGTCATGGTATTTTATCACAGCTATAAAATCCCTAACTAAAACAAGCACATTTCAACAGATAAACAGCTGTGGGATGACACCAATTCAGATTACCTATCTCCCTGCCCCATTCTTTAGCCAAGAACTAGCAAACACAGAGACTCAATGACTACAGTGCAGTAAGAAAACTCTCACTTCATATTTAAATATTTTCCTTGTGTAGTGGTTTAGATGAGAATGGCTCAAGTAGGTTCATATACTTGGATGCTTAGTCACTAACTGAAAGGATTAGAAGGATTAGGAGGTGTCCTCTTGGAGAAAATGTGGCCATGTTGAAAAAACGTTGTTGCTGGGGGTAGACTTTGAAGTTTCAAAAGCCCAACTCAGGTCCAGTGTATGTGTCTCTCTTTGTCTTTCTGTCTGTCGGTATGTCTGTCTCTCTGCCTGTGGACCAGGGTGTGCCTCTCAGCTACTGCTCCAGTGCCATGCATAGTTCAATGCTCTCTGCCACGATGACAATGAACCAAACCTCTGAAACTGTAAGTGAGCCCTGATAAAGTCTTTCTTTTCTAAGAGTTGCCATGGTCATGATGTCTCTTTATAGCAACAGAATGCCTTCCAAAATTTAAACACACACACACACTATATATATCTCCTTCTAAAAAGAATTTTATAAGATAAATCATTTATGAAGCACTCAATTTCAACTTAATAAAATAATATGGTAATAAACTATGGTAGTAAAAGATAACCTTAACTCTAAATTATGGATTTTTAAAAAAAAAAACAAGTTATACTACTTAATGGAAAAAACCATTATTCTCATTTTCATTACAAAGAGCAAAAGAATATTTATCTTTGTTGCTAAAACAAACAAAAATGAATTGTTATTCTCTTATGTAAGAAATATAAACCACTCCTAACAAGTTAAAGTTGTATATTCATCATAGGCAACTTTGATTTACAGATAATCCTGTTAATCAAGGTTGGGTATCAAAAGTAAAAACAATAAATATTCAAAATCAGGTAGACACTAGCATAAAGATAGGCATATAACAGCCATTATAATACTTAAGACAACAGACATAAAAGCCATGTCTGAGTCTACAAATGGGTCTCAGAGATAGAGAAAAAAATTAATCTGAGGATACTCTACTTCTTTGAATCATAAAGTAAAGCAATCACCTGTGAACATTAGAAGAGGGTGTTGGGTCGCCTGGAGCTGGAATTACAGGCAGCTGTAATCTGCTATGTGGATGCAGAGAACTGACCTCGGGTTAGAAGCACTCTGCATCACTGAAACAACTCTCCCACCCCTCACCTGTACTACTTTAAAACAAGGAATTCAAAAACCTTCATTCACACAGTTACACCATAATCATGCTTTCCTTTGAACCTCAAAAAAAATTTTCCATTAAGACAGTAGCTTTAAAATAATGATGAGATTCAAATATCCATAGATTGGGTGCCAATTCATTGTATTCATCTGCTTATTGATATTTGACTGAACAGAGATGTCAGAACATAAATTTACGAAAAAATTATAATGGAGCTGTAAGAATCATAGCAGCCTATGACCTCAATGATAATACAGAAGTCCTCACTTCTCAATGGCTTATATGTAATGAGTAACAGCTATTTTAAAGCATTGACCTATAACTGCACAAATATAACATGGCCAATTCCTATAATACTCTACAATAAACAAGCTTGGGTTTGGACAAGTAAGTGATCAGCTCAGAGGTTTACATCACCCACTGCTCTTCCAGAGAATCCAGGTTTAAATCCCAAGCACCCACATGGCAGCTCATAACTGTTTATAACTACACTCCAAGGAATCCAATGCCCTCTTCTGGCTTCTATGGGCATCAGGCACACATGTGGTACACAGACATACAGGCAGTCAAAACATTCATACATGTAAAGTAAAATTTAAAAAAAAAGAAACAAAAGCTTATTAAATGTATCTGAAGATATCAGGGATAGAATATGTCTTTTTTTCTTTTCTATCCTGTGCTCAACTAAAGATACTGAAAACTTCAGAGTTTAGCAGGAGGTAAGCCCCACAAACCAGAAATAATAAGAAATTACTCTAGAATGATATTCCACATATCTTAATATAATTTACACCCAACCTTATAAGAACCAGAATAACTGACTGCCTTAAGAAGTAACAGCATTTTTCTTAAAATATACCAGATTCCTCTAAACTATAGTAAAAAATTTTAATTACTATTTAGTAGGTAGTATTGAAAAATAATTTCCAGACCAGGCCAATGTTTATTCATTCATCTGAAAAATATGACAACTCAAAGTATACTATAAAGAAAATCAATAGGCAGGCCTTCTAGATAGTTTTTAATTACTGTGTGATGTCTGAAAAAAAATAACTAAAATGTTCATACCTGATCGAAAGCACTCAATTATTTGCTGAATACCAGATTTGGATGTCTGTAGTGGTTGCTGTAATAAAGGTGGATCTCCAGGCTCCAGGATATAAACTACATGGAAGACAAACACACACCCAATCCACAAAAAAAAAAAAAAAAAAAAAATTAAAAAGGTTATTTAAATCACTTCCTAATGAATCAAACAATAGTTTGTCACAATCATGTTAATATCGAAAATACATCATATATATTCATATATATAAAATTTACCATCATCTTTATAAGACAAATGAAGCAATGGAAGGAAAACCTCAATCATTCTCAATATTGAAGACTCAATCAAGACTATTTATTAGGTCTAACAGCAAATGCTTACTGCTTTGGCATCATTCAGTATCTATTGTTTGCCTTTTTATTCCCCTTAGAAAAGACCTTCATTTAACAAAAACCCTTAAGGCTATGGTGGCTTACCATATCCAGTAAATCCTTCCAAAAGCCTTAAAAAATCACCTGATTAAGCAACCTGGACAATATTGAAACCCACCTGCCTAAGAAAGCAATAGACAAGTATACAATTAGAGGCATATAAGACTTTCATTGAAGTACTCTGTAGCACTGTATTCAACTGAGAAATGTAGTACAAATTCTAATTGTTATTAATAAAAACCCAGAGTCAGATATTAAGGGGTGAAAGCTGAGAGATCAGAGAAGCAGTGCAGCCAATCACTAGAGACTGTACCTCTACCGAATCCTCAGACCAAAAGGGCAATCCTGTCCTCAGACTGCATCCTCAGACTACAACTGTCTCCACCAAACCTCAGACTGCACTGAGCTCCTGTCTCCTCCTGCCTCATATTCCTCCTCCGCCCAGCCATTTCACTCCTGTCTCCACCTCTATAGTGCTGGGATTAAAGGCGCGAGATCCCAAGTGCTGGGATCCAATCTCGTGTAGCCCAGGGTGGCCTTGAACTCACAGAGATCTGTCAGCCTCTGTCTCCTGAATGATGGAATTAAATGTGTGTGCCACCACTGCCTGGCCTCTAGTGGCTTAACTCTACACTCTAGTCTTCAGGCAACCTTTATTTGTTAAAACACAAACAAAATATTACTACAGAGAGACTTCAAATTTCAAAGTCTCTTTACAGGGACCAAACTAAAAGCTATGAAGATGCCACATAACAGCTGAAAAGCACCAGCCAGTCCACTGTACTGACAACGCAGGATGTCAGTATTGTTAAATAATAAAAACAGGGTATAGACTATGACCTATTTACATTAGTACATATTTATGCAGATGCAGAAATACATAAATGTAGTTGCTATAGGTATGAGTCTAGATAAGAGAAAGCTACCTTGGAAAGACACCCGAGTTTAGCAAAGGCTCTGTCGGGGTGGGTCAGAGGATGATGCTCACTTTCCGCCTCATAGTCCTATTACTTCAGAGCACACAAGTCAGGCGTTTACAAGTGAAGTAAGTAACTTTCCCATCTGAAAACTAAAAATTTTCACTTCCGTATCTAGTAGTCATTATTGCCTACTCCCCTTTGCAAAATTCTCTGATGAGTAGAAAACTGAGATCATGTGACACAGTAGCTGACAAGGACACCTGTTTCTATCGCTGTCAGACAGCAGGCTGTAGTGAAGAAAAACTGGCCATTCAGTTTTCATAATGTCCTACCCACTAATAACAAAATGTCCACCATAACCCAAGGACCATTCCCTCAGTGTGAGTGGGATCCAAGTTCCCTTCAGCTGGATGTGTGCTGCTACTGCTTTGCACCTTAGACCTGGAGAGCAACCCCATTTTTAATACAGAGTAGCTGAGGTTACAGGGTTATGCTTACAGATGCAGCCTTAGACTCTCTTTCATATTTCAAGTACACAAGTAAGAGGAACCCCGTCTCAGGACTACATCATTTCACCAACTTTAGGTACATAAAAAGAATAGACACAGACAACTAACTCAGTTTGAGAACACTGACAATAACTGCAGTGATAAAGAATTTAAGACTCCAGAAGATACTCCTGCATATTAATTGTGTATAACTGAGGTATAATTAAAACAACTAAATACTCTGGTCTCTTCTCCTCTTCTCTAACATGGTGCTAACAAAATTATCAGAAAAAGGAACTTTGTAATTATTAAATAAGATATAGCAAAGTAATTAGAACCCACCCTGGGATATAGCAGCACCCGCATTATCACATACAAACAACTGCTTTCCTTGCATCAGAAACAATCTTCTCACAAAACCTAAGTCAAACCAGTCTTTAAGAGAACCAACAGCAGAGGTTCGTTAGCAGTCCGTTAGTGCTGAGTTAGGTAGAGGGATCTCTTTCCAGTAGTTGTGGATGGCAGCAATTGATAACTAGAAGACATAATGAGCTACAAAGAGAAAATCTACCAACTGTAGAGAACTAAGGTCTGGCTTTATAAGGGGCAAGAAGCAGAGAATTAAAGAATAGAAAAAAAATAAATAACAGAAACAGTAAAAGAGCTCTGGGGAGAAACAGACTTTGTCAGTTCCTCATTTGGGAGTATGCTCCAGAAGCTCTCTGTAATACACCACTTCCACTGCCATGTGACAATACTTAGCTTCAGAGTTAGAGCAAAGTTCTTACCAACCACCCTCAGGACACTTCCACTAGAGCACATACACACCCTGAGACAATATTCTAAGTAAGCCTGATGTCTTGGCTCTGCACGGACACATTTATTTAGTAGACTTTGAAGTGTAGCTCCCACTGTTAAAACAGACTTTTTCATTTAAAATGTATTTGCAAATGGATATGTATGTGTATACATATTGATATATGTATATATATATATCAATATGTATACACACACATATAGCATAGTTACATATATGTGTGTATACATATTGATATATTTATACATATATCATTATGTACACACACATACAAATATGTAACTTTCTAAAATGTTCTCTTATATATCCTGTTGTCTGTTCCAAGATCAGATGATGAGACCCACCCAGGTCATAAACATGTAAAAAAATTATCTCCCTCAACAAAAATCACACAAACCCTCAGAACATTTTGCTTTACACTCTTCCAAGAGCGCATATCTGTTTTTGTAGTTCTCTCCGGCCTTAAAACAGCTCCTTAAAGATCTTTCTGATGATGATATCTAGGATTTGCTTACCAAAAACGAGAAGTTGGGGGAGTAGCTGGAGAGTAGCAAAGGGGATTGTAGGGAGGTAAAGACAGCAGAAAAGATTTTCCATGTACTGATAAATGACTAACTGCATAGTGGCTACATCAGAGTCCTTCTACCACTGTACTTTTAACTTCTGAAAACTTCTATTAAAAAAATGTCTAAGAATATGCATATCCTGACAAACTTCTAATGCCACCTCTCACTATAAACTGACCCATTCCAACAAAGCATATGGTCTCTGCAGGAGCATTCTCATCTAAGGTTGCGCTCTCTGCTCCTACTCCAAATGAAGGCAGCCCACTCCTGAAAGCCCATTAGGGATGTCTCAACCATCACATGAGCATCCTCCACCTGAGGACATCTTGATCACTGCCATGTGATACTTCCTTCAGACCTGGAAACCTCCTCTTCACTCGGCACACACCTTCCTTGAAATACTGACAATGAACTAACCTAAAAATCAGCAAATGCCTAGCTTTCCACTGAAATAAACATCCCAAAGTATTTAGTTCTACCTCAGGAAGCAATATTAATAAGCAGTAACTTTTAGTTATTTTGATTAATGATATTTTAAAGGCATTACACCTTTTAAATACTTGATTACCAATGTGTACTGTAAGTCATGTTCAGGATTACCTTATTTATTTGTTTCCATCTATCTCTTCCCACTCAAAAGCTATCTGAAGAAAGAACTGTCTTTCTCACAGTTTATACCCCATTGCCTTGGGTACTACCTGGCACCTAAGGCATGCTCAGCAATGACTTGCTAAAGAAATGAATGAGCAAACTAGTAAGCGCTATTCAGCTCCATACTATGCAATACAGCTTCACCTCAGATAAACAAGATGTGCAGCATGCAAGGGCACTGAAGTCAGCCGGGTCAGGAGCGGGATAAAAACAAGGTCCCATCCTGGAGGCACCTGTTTTATTAGGTTATTACTGTTGTAAACACAACAGACAGAAGGCTGGAGCCAAATGGTTATTGTCATGTTCAGCAACATTTTCTTTTTAATTTACTGTTTTTTAATGATCTTTTCTCATTTTACATACCTATCCCAGTTCCCACTCCCACCCCTCTTCCCACTCTCCCCACTTTCTCCCCATCTTATACCCCGCCCACTCTTGAGAAAGAGTAAGGCAACTAAGTCTGACATCACTTTGAGGCAGGCCCAAGGCCTTCTCCCCTATATTTAGGATGAGCAAGGTGTCCCTCCAAAGAGAATGGGCTCCAAAAAGCCACTTCATGCACTAGGGATAAATCCTGGTCCTACCGCCAGTGTCCCCACAGACTGCCCCATCCACACAACTGTCGCCCACATTCAGAGGGCCTAGTTTGGTCCTATGCAGGTCCTGTGTTCCCTCCCCCACCCCACACCCATCAGTCCGGGGTCAGCGAGCTCTCACTAGCTCAGGTCAGCTGCTTTGGTGGGTATCACCATCAAGGTCCTGACCCTTTCAGCAACGTTTTCTTAACAGGAGTTTCTTCCCCTTTACTACCACCATTTTCCCCTTCTCAAAAAATTATTTAAAATAAACTTATGATAAAAATCTAAATACATAAATGTAATTAAAATATTTCAATTAAAAACAAGCCAAAGTAGAAAAAAGCATGCCAACCCTGGTAACTTTGAAGTAAAAAGTGGTAAACAGTTGTCTTTGAACTGGAATAGAATAGCCTTTATTTGTAGTGACAGTATGTTTTCCATGATGCCCTTTTAAGGGCAAAGTTCTAGAACCATCAATAGCTTACAAGTACAATGTCTATCAAATTAAAATTCACAAATGTTCTTCATGAGTCAAAAGTTTAACATCATAAATTTAACCAAATCGCTCCAACTTAAATACCTTAAATATGCTTAAGTACTCCAAGGAATTTACAATACAATAAATTCTATCCAAAACATTTTAAGATGTTTTTAAATGTAAAAAAAACCCGGTTTCCCTACAAGTGCAATCAACCTTCTTGATCCAAACTAAACTTTTGAAGGGATGGGTGGAGGCATCATGCTATGGTTTTAAAAAAAAAAAAAAAAAAACTCCATGGGAAACTTATTTTAGTGATAAGCAATTTTCATGAAGATGAGTGCTGGTATTCAACCAGCTATCTATCTTTGCCTTTTTCTTCCGTTTTAAACATTCGGAGCGTGGACTAAACCACTAACTGAAGCCTGAAAAAGGAAAAGCAGCTGACTGGTCTTGTGGAAATGATTGAAGGTGACACTTGCAGCAAGGGAGATCTCTAGTCTGTCCAGGCTTTTAGCATTACAAGTGGATGTATGCTGGGGAGACAGACCCCCCACCCACCCACCCTCGAGTTAGTAAGGAAACGCTTCTTAGAGACAGCTCTGAAGGGGAGAGCAAAGACACCAGGCAGGAAAACGGACTTACCTGGTTCGCAGCATCCGTGATGATGGTGGTCAGTTTGACAGTATTTGTCCCTCAAAGGCATTTTTAATGGGTGCGATCTATTTTCTTTTCACTGTGAGAAGCTCTTCATCGCGGCTTGGCTGCGGACAGAAGCACAAACCCGTCACTGTCCCTGAACTTCCTGGGGAGGCTGTGGCTACAAGCACCATAGACCATCAACACCATGCGCCCTCAGCTCTCCCACCCCAAGGCCCGCACCTTCCGCTCGGCCACGAAACCGACGCCCGCCCGGCCTCCAGCCCCAAGTCCCCCCGCACAGGTTCATCGCCCTACCCGGAAACGCAGCGTCCGGCGCGCAGCGCAGCACAGCACAGCGCAGCGCACAGCCAAGGCCTGGCCGGCTGCGCAGGCGGCTGCGGCCTCGCCGGCCGGGGCGGGCTGACGGACGAGCGAGCGAGCGGGCGAGCGCGCGGAGAGCAGGGCGCGACGAGGCCCTGGCGCGGCCGAGGAGAAGCTCGCGCCCTCCCGCCACGCACGTGCGTCGCGGGGGTCTCCCTGGCGCAGGTCGGGTCCGCGCCGCCAAGTGCGCCCAACTTACTCAACTCCCGGAACAGGCGGGCGGGCGAGCGGGCCGCGGCACCAGCCGGGCGCACGACGCGGCGGAGGGCCCCACCTGGCGCAGCCCCGGCGCACGGCGCGGAACCGAACGGGACTGCGGCCCGGCGCGCTCCCCAAAGAGTCCCCGGCGGCGCGGACGCGGAAGCGCCACAGCTCACCACGTCCCCGGGCCGCGGTGGCGGCTTAAGGCGGCCCTCCTCGGCGCTCCGGGCCGGCGAGCTGGCGGGCGCGCGGGCGCAGGCAGTTGACAGGAGGAACCGCCGGGCGCAGCAGCCGAAGGAGCTGGAACCGGAGCGGGCAGGACCGAGGCGCCCCTCGCCAGGGCAACGGCCGCGCCGAGCCCGGGCTCCCCCTCAGCGTCGCTCCACCTGCAACGGTCCCCCGGGCTTTGGAGAGGGGCGGGGAGCTGCGCGGGGCCCCCACCTGGGGCCTGGCGGGTAGCAGATGCTTCGGGAAACTTTCGGGAAGTCAGTCCCGCTCTCTCTCGGCCGTCCCCCCTCCCCGGTCAGCCCGAGCGACCGCCGTGGAGAGGGTAGGAAGAGGGAAGCAGACAAGTCTCCGGCTGCGACAGGGAGCGACTGACTGACCCCGGACGGAGATGGGGCGAGGGCAGGAAGTGACAAGCTCACGGAGTGGGTGGGGGGAGTGTGGCCGGCACGCCCGGCAGCGCGGCGCGCATGCGCTGGCCGGGCAGCCCCGGTGGGGAGGCGACGCGCGGGGCCGGCCTCGGGGGGAGACCGCGGGGCCGGCGGCGCCGAGGTGGATGGCGGGCCTCGCCGGCGCGCGCCCGTGCGTCCTCCCGCCGACCCGGCGGCTGCGGAGCCCCGGCCCCGGCTCCGGGCCGCGTGCGCGTCCTCCTCCGGGCGCGCGCCGCTCGCTCGCTAGCTTGCCCGGGCACCAAACTGTTGCTCGCGCGCTGCGCTTCGGCCCGCCAGAACCAGGCAAGATTGGAAAGGCGACGGAGAGAAAGTAGGGTAGACTCGGTCCAGAAAGGCTGGCAGGTGTTGGCTAGCCAGCAGTTGTCTGTGGTGCCTTCTAGAACTTGGGAGACCAGAGTCGTCTTCGGGCTCTGAGGAGGAAAACGATTGGGCGGAGATGGGTACCCCTGCAGCGTTCTGATGGTGCCAACAAGAAAGTGAAGTTGGTTCACATGGCTAGCATGCACTCTCCTTTAGCCCCAGCATCCTGCTTGGAAAAATCCCCGAAGATCGAAGATGACCATGACTGTCTTCTGTCAAATCTGCAACCCTCCGGCTGCTTCTCATGGCGAGTAGCTGCTGTGGCCACCTTGTTCCCAACCCTTGCCCTTGCCAACTTCAAGTATGTCTCAGCTATTGGTCAGGATAGTTTGAGAGCGCCCCTTTGCCGTTATTTATCTTAAGATTAATGAAAACCACAATTATCTAACTTGAGCTTCCAGTTTGCGAGCTTCTCTATGTGTTTGGGATTTTGGTTTTTTGGGATGGTCTTGCTAAGTCACTCAGGCTGCCTGGAATTCCCTTGAGTAATCCAGGTTGACCTTCACCTCAGGAGTCTCCTGCCTTTGCACTGTGCTTCTCAAAGCCCGGGTTATAGGCTAGCCCCCATTCTCAGATCTGTGCTTGTGAAGAAAATCGCCAAAATCCATTTTGAAAATCCCCACCAAAGTTTGTAAACAAATGGAGTTTGTAGGCAAACAGTAGGACTGTTAAATAGACCTCTTGCATAGGTAAGTCCTGGCCAATTGGAGCAGAATAGAATAGAAAAATGATCTGCAGCTACATAGTATATATTCCGATCTTGTCTTCTGCCCCACAATCAAGAAACGATGCAGATTCTAGGTCAATATGCTACTTCTATGTGATGGTGTTATGCAACCACTAAAAACCATATTGGGGTGGGAAGATGACATTGTCAGTAAAGTGCAAGCAAGCAAGAAAACCTGAGTTTGATCTCAGAACCCATGTTAGAAAAAATACAAGGGTGGAGAGCGGATATGGAAGGACTGGAAAATGTGGGGGATCGGGATGCGTAATGTGAAATTCACAAAGAGTCAATAAAAAATGATGTAGGGGAAAATACTAAGTTCGTGGTGGCAGTGCACCTGCAGTCCCATGCTAAGGAGACCAATAGAATCCCGAGGCTTGCTGACCAGTTGGCCTGACCAAACCGATGAGGTCCAGGCTCAGTACGAGACCCAAGAGCAATTGAATACATACAATATGGACCTTTATCCTGTTCACACACAATCTGTATATCCATATATGCACAAAAATTTTCTTCTGTAATATTAGCTGTATGAAACATACTTTAACCAAAGTGTATTTTTGAAATGTAATAGATGTTCTAGATGCTTTTGTCTGAATGAAGCATATATGATTTAATAAGAGTTAATAGTCAATAGGAAAACTTTCTTCCAGTGTTCCGTAAATAGTTAAAATTCCACTCTTAAATGGCTATAATTATGTGAAATGGAATAAAACAGTAAAGCACAAAAATATACATACCATTCAAAATGCAGCGAAAATACTGAGAGACAACACTGTCAACCTTGGAGATAGTGTATGGTAAAATTTGAAATAAAATACTGTTGTTTCAAAGGACATTTTTCCTAATTTTGCATGATTATATTCATCCCATGTATAGAGATAAATACTAAACTTTTTATAAGCCAGGGAAGTATTATGTATGGGAATTTAAGTGCTTGCAAGGTATTAGTTTTAAACCGTGTTTTGTGGAGGCTGGAGAGATGGCTCACTACTACAGAGCACCTGTCGCTCTTGCAGAGGATCCGGGTTTGGTCCCCAGCACCCTCGTGTTCTCACAACTGTAACTCCAGGGCCAGATGACTGTAAGTGCAGTGGTACAAATAACTGGCCGTTACTAGAAGGGCCACAGAATTGCTAAGAGAAAATTTTTTTAAAAATCTGGAAAGTACAGACAAAATTGAGATGTGAGTAAAACAGATACTCAACACTAAGTCACAGAATTTTAAAGATGAAAATAAGCCATGGGAAATACCTAGTAAACCTTCCTTTGTACCCGGGAAAACAGAAAACCCAAAAATAACAAGTGACCAGTAATAACTGCTTTCCAGACCTAGGAGGCTCCTCCCTACTATAATGACAGGAGTAATATCTAAGATGCGTTTACTTTTTAAAATGTTTTCATTTCAAGTACTGACCCTTTTAATTCCATCAGCAAACCAATGACGTTTCCCTTGTCTTCCATTCTACAGCGAAACAGAAAAATTTGCAGCTGACAGGCAGTTGAGCCAACATCTGAAACAATTTGACATAGGAACTCAGAATTTAGCCTCTAGTTCTGTACTGATTCACTGTATCATAGCTGTTTGGGGTCAATCACATGGTATGTGAAAGATCATCTTTCACATACCTGCCAGCTGGGAAGAGAGGTCTGATATGTCAAGATACTGTGAAAACACTGGCATAGTGATCCCAGGAGACAAAGGTAGAAGAGTTGAAGGCCATTCTTGTCCACATAGCAATTTGATACCGGCCTGAGCTACATGAGACCCTGTATCAATAAAACAAAACTAGTTTGTACATATATGAAGTCAAATGGAGCTGCTAACTCACAAGAACTTCACTGAAATTGCATGGTGCTCTAAAACTTAAATTTTAGATACCAAGAATTATCACCCTACCTTTACAGAGCATGTTCACAAACCATCCCAGGTATGAATGTGAACTATACCCCACAGGTCCAGATGTTGAACATTTTCTCTCAAGTTGGTGACCCTGTTTTGGGAGGCATAAAAACTTGGGGATTCAAGACCTGTCTGGAGGAAGATCTTTGGGGGCATGACAGTGAAGGTTCTATCTGGTCTCAAGTCCATTTCTCAGTTTGTCCTTCCTGCCTACCATGAGATGAACGATTCTGCCATGTGATTTTGCTACTGTGATGTTTTGAGTCTCAGAGCCAATGAAGCCAGGAAGTGTGAACTAAGACCTCTGAAAACCTACTGTTTGCTATATCAGGTATTTGGTCACAGCAATGAATGGTCTAGACAATAAATTATTACAGCCTCAATTTTTTTGAGACAGAATCTCACTGGCTCAAACTAGTACTCCTTAAAAGTCGAGAAATCCATCCTATAGAGTAACCCAACTTCTATTTTTTATTGATTTTTTTATTGAGCTATACACGTTTCTCTGCTCCCCTCCCTGCCTCTCCCCTCCCCACTTCAAGCCTCCCCCAAGGTTCCCATGCTCCCAATTTACTCAGGAGATCTTGTTTTTTTCAACTTCCCATGTAGATTAGACCTATGTAAGTCTCTCTCAGTGTCCTCATTATTGTCTGAGTTCTCTATGATTGTGGTTTGTAGGCTGGCTTTCTTGCTTTATGTTTAAAAACCACCTATGAGTGAGTACATGTGATAATTGTCTTTCTGTGTCTGGGTTACCTCACTTAAAATAATGTTTTCTAGTTCCATCCATTTTCCTGCAAAATTCAAGATGTCATTATTTTTTCTGCTGTGTAGTACTCCATTGTGTAAATGTACATTTTCCTTATCCATTCTTCAGTCTAGGGGCAGTTAGGCTGTTTCCAGGTTCTGGCTATGACAAACAATGCTGCTATGAACATAGTTAAGCACATGTCCTTGTGGCACAATTGAGCATCCTTTGGATGTATACCCAACAGTGGTATTTCTGAGTCTTGAGGAAGGTTGTTTCCTAATTTCCTGAGAAATCGCCACACTGACATCCAGAGGGGTTGTACCAGCTTGCATTCCCACCAGCAATACAGAAGTGTTCCCTTTTCCCCACAACCTCTCCAGCATAAGTTGTCATCAGTGTTTTTGATCTTGTCTATTCTTACAGGTGTAAGATGGAATCTCAGAGTTGTTTTGATTTGCATTTCTCTGATGACTAAGGATGTTGAACATTTCCAAGACCCAACTTATATTTTATGATTTAAAGTTACTCTTATCCTCAGTGTTAGAGGCTGAGGCACATTCACACATGTAATTACTGCATACCAAGCCGCCACTGGCGCATCAAGCCATTGTATATGCTCTCAATTTGTAGAGCAGTAATTTGGGTTAGCCTTGTCTGAGTCACCAAGCCTCATCTGGAAGCTTGACCGAGTGTGTCATCTAGCTGGCTGTTAGTGCTGTCTGGTGACTGGAATCCCCACAGTGGAGCCTTTCATCCTCAAGGTGAGTAGCTTGGACTTCCTCATGCAGTAGCAGCATGCCAGGCCAGTCCAGTGAGAGCTGTAGGACCTCAGGAGATACGAAATATCATATCCACCACAAGCTTTTAGTCAAAAGCCCAGCATCCTCCAGCGCATTCCCACAAGCAATGTGTAAGGTTCCTGTTTCCCACATCCTCGACGGCATTTGCTCTTATTTTTAATGATACTCATTCTGATGGGTGAGAGAAAACCTTAGTGGTTTGTATTTGTATTTCCATGGTGACTGGATGTTTAGCATTCGTGTATGGATTGGCCATCTTATCTGTATTCTGAGAAGTCTATTCATTCTGTTTGTCAATTCATTAACTGGCTTATTTGAGTTTGGGCTTTTGGGGTTTGGTTGGCCGGTTGTTGTTTGTATA